GTGCTTGGATTTCACAACTCTTGCCTAGTCTAGAACATGAAAAGAAATTAACAAAATCCCATACTGAAGGTGATATGTTAGAAAGAAAAGCCATCATTCATTGGCAATACTGAAGCTATCTCTTCTTTTTACTGCCCTTCCCAGACTTGGAAGGTGTAGCAGTCGAGGTGGATGTGGGTTCCTGTTTCTTAGTCCTCCCGGGGTGTCTCGGAACCAACCCAGCAACATGGACCATCAGCTGTTTCCCTGCAATATAATCTCGATGTTATAACATGGTTCAAAGTCGCGGTATCGGCCATCAACTCGGAGGGTGCTGATACACAACGATCGCGGCGACGCGGCATGGTATCGGCCGATACGCTCAAAACGCAAGATAGAAGCTCCATAAAATTTTGAAAAAATTATAGAAATTTCTAAAAAAATAGACATTATCATTTATGCATCATATATCCACAATACATCTAAAAAACATTAAACATAATTAAAATGAAACATAAAATCGCGAGCGAAAATAATTATCATTATCAATGTTCAATGTAGACATTTAGGAACATATTAAACCATAATTATTGCCACATTGAACGACGATGAGGCTCAAAATCGTCGTTATTGTCTCTAGGATAATACAAATTAGGGTATTGTCCACCATAAGAATAAGAGTACAAGTGTGAATACGGGTCTGATTGGGTTGGTTGAGTTGATTGACTAGATGACCCCTAATCGGAGTAGTGTGACTGTGGAGGTTGTACTAGCTGGTTCCCATACTAATAGTACCCAAAATCACGATATTCACGGCCACTACTAGCAGAAGACTGATCATATCCATAAAAGTTGACACTATCCGATGTCGTGTTAGAACATCCATCATGATGTCTCCTTGGAACACGATCATAGTAACCACCAGTACTAGTACTAGTAGATCTCTCAAGATGCGTAGGGCGATGGGCATAATGCCCAGCACTATTAGTACTAGTAGACCTCGGAAGCTGCGAAGGGATACCATATCCATATGATCTATGTGCATAACTAGATTCTATACCAATACTTTGATGATGTCCGTAAGACATGTATCCTTCATATGATGTCAATCCCAAACTCTGCATATGATCATCAATATCTTGTCGATCAAGTGAATGATGGTGACATTTATAGAAATAATCATTACCAATGGAAGAGTTTAAATTTCTCTGTTGTTTCATTGCCCTTGGTCTATATCCATGGTCTGTATCCTGTGTGGTATAGTAATTGTCTTGCCCCTGTGCCCATGACATACTGCTAGGTAACTGAGTATCATCACCATCTCCAGTAGTCCTTCTACTACCACTCTTGTTGCTCTCATCATGATTACTAGCATCATCATCATCAGTACTACTACTATCACCATCACCACTACCACCACCATAAGTATCAGCAATATTATCATCATTATCATCATCAGAAGAAGAATCACTAGAACTGACAAAAATTCTCATAGCCTTTTTACCCTTGTTGGTTAGCCTCGTATCTTTTCCAGATCTTCTGGTAGTGGCATAATTGCTAGATGTTAGTGTCGTATTAGTGTCAACTTTATCAACTGCATCGCGTCCACTTCCACCTTCTTCAATGTCACGAATACCTTCATCCAACCAACCTAAGTTATCAGGTGATAAAATTGATTCCTTCATTTCTCTTATCCACTCATCTAATATATCCTCATCATTGAAAATGTAGTTCAGATCAATTGGATTATACAAATCATCATTTTCACACTGATATGTCAAATTTCTAACTCGCAACCGTATATTGTAGTGCACAAAAACTAGCTTATATAGCTTTTTCATTGTCAATCGGTTGAGAAGTTTTGTATGGATCAACGACCATGTACTCCAATTTCTTTCACACCCTGATGATGAACATGTTTGGCTTAAAACTTTGACTACTTCATTCGAGTAATGTCACCATGAACTATTTTACCACAATAGTTGCACTTTGTAATTTATCGATCACCACAAACAGGTGTTGCGTGTTCCCAACAAATGTCGTGTTGTTTAGGAGTCATTCTACAATGTCACAAATTCCAAATAATTAAATAAGTAACATGCAATTGATTGAAATAGTTTAAATATAAAAAAATGTAATTGTAACATTTAATTTTATATAATTTGAAATGGAACATATATATTTTATATATAATAAAAAAAAAGAACTTATATCCACTCATTTATTATTATAAAATACAATAATTTTAATATTTATGCAATAAATAAGTAATTTAACTATGACAATAATGTAAAAAAGCATGTTTGCCTTGGAGGAGTTGAACCACTGTCCTGCACATGACAATTTGCATCACCACCCAATTGAGCTACTACTTTTATGTTACTTTTAAGGCAAATATAAATATATAAACATTTAGTCAAAAAAAAAAGGGTAGACAGTGTCTTGGGGTTTTGGAGGAGTCGAACCAATGACCTACAACATTACAGTGTGCAAGTCCACCCAATTAAGCTACTACATTTATATTATGTTAAGACAAATATAAATATATAAATATTTAATAACTAAATAAAAAATAGACTACATGTTGGAGTCGAACCAGGGACCTTGCAACAGCTCAATTTGTAACACCACCCAATTGAGCTACTATTTTTATGTTACTTTTAAGGCAAATATAAATATATAAACATTCAGTAAAAAAAAAAGGGCAAGGGTCTTGGAGGAGTCGAACCAGTGACCTACAACTTTACAATGTGCAAATCCACTCAATTGAGCTACTACGTTTATGTTATGTTAAGACAAATATAAATATATAAACACTTAATTAAAAAAAAACAGCCTGCCTGTTGGAGTCGAACCAGGGACCTTGCAACAGCTCAATTTGCAACACCACCCAATTGCGCTACTATTTTTACGTTACATTTAGGACAAATATAAATATAAAAACACTCAATCCAAAAAAAAAAATCAAACAGCTTTTAAAGAGTTTTTTTTTCCTACCTACTTTTACGTTCTTCGTCTTTCTCACTTCCCAGAGGCTCACGATAACAGAGTGCAGACAGAGAGATGCAGAGTGCAATTCCTCACCGATATAGACCGAAGAAGATCATCTCAACAAATAATCGACGAAGATCCTTTCAACAAAGAATTGAACAAGAATAACAAAGAATCGAAGAAGATCCTTTCAACAAAAAATTGAACAAGAATAACAAAGAATCGAACAAGGTTGTCACACAAGACCAGATGAAGAAGATGTTTCAGGGTTCGATCTACAAGTATGTTAGTAATCTTGGTTTTTTATAGGGATTTGCTGCCTTAGGGTTCATGTGATTTCTGCAATTTTCACATGGGTGTCGAGTCTTTCAACGGGTAGTCTGATAGTAGATCTGCTTTATTTCCCATCCCTTTTTTTTTTTTTTGGATTTTTGTTCATTTTTCAAAAAAATGAAGGAGTGTTAATAAGTTTTTGCAGAGGTGTGGGTCAGATTTGGGAATTTTTCCACTGTCGTGTTCGACTCGGAAAGATTCTGAGTCGAGTCGCCCGAGTTGAACCGAGTTTTCACCGACACCTTTGATTTCGGCCGAGACGTCCAAGATATCGCCGAAATATCGCTGATACAAGTTAAATTCGTCAATCTTTCGATTCGTGTATTGTTATCGTATCGTCAATGGCCGAGTCGGATACGACTCGGCTGAGTCGTACCGGACTACTTTGAACCCTGTGTTATAAAGCCATGGGGAAAAAGTATAGAATTCACCTATTAGGAAATACAATAACAACCAAAACACTAGGACATGGAAAAGACATGAATGATTAGCATACTTTCGGTAGATGATGTGCTGAGCCAAACATCACATACAATTGGGAATCACATTTTCTTCTAAAAAACCACGACCCATTGAATCTTTCAAAAGTGTGAATCCATTGCTTAGGAATTAGTATGCAGTGCGTGGGAATGTAGCGCTGTCTAGTGGATCCCAACCTAATTATTTTTTATTTATTTGTTTTTTTTGGGAAGAAGGGGGGAGAGGGAGTGGGGACTTGAACCATTGACCTGAAGAAGGCAAAACTTTCATAAAGTGAGAAGTATCATTGGACCAAAGGCTCGTTAGTTCCAACCTAGTTATTGATCCATCAATCCCAAGCTAAATGGTTTTATGGTTCAAGTAGGTAGTATTGGTGCAAAACAACAGTCAACAGTAGTTGAGTAGAACAATTCTTCCATGTGCAAAGCTCAAGAAAGACAAGCATCAAAAAGAATCCTGGTTCGTGCATAGGCTGAGGGCAATCTAAGGATGACAAAGGAGAATGAGTTTTATGCACAATGGACCTTAACAAAGGCCCATCTTAGCCAAACAAAGGATGGTTGGTAAAAAATGACACTAAATGGAATCTCCAAGTCTTGAAGAAATGCTCAGAATCATCATGCAGATGAGTATTTCAACAACTGTGATCACATTGAATCTTGAATTTCTGATTTGTCATGCTCAATAAAATACATGAACACCTAGGTGTGATCCTTGCAATTGATCATAGATATTTCTAAAACAAAATTTAGGACTCAAAATACCACCCAGGAGCAAGAACTAAAATAATCACATTAAAAAACTCTCTTATCTTCGTTGTGGCCAGAAATATGAATACATCAGTTAGTAATTGACATAACCGTAGTTAGTTTACCCGTAAATCTAGAATTAGTACATTGCGTTTGAGCCCTATGTGCTAGTTCTCTCCTTCAAAACACACACACACACACACAAAGTAAATCTCATGCAAAGATCATTATAGGGGCACTGCCATGCAAGTACTCAAAAGGCATTGGCAAAGATCAAATATCTCGAGCCGGCTTTTGGAACTCAAAAAAAAAAAAGTAATTCAAACATTATCACCCACCAAATTTCCTCCTTTCAAAGTATATGATAGTAGTTACATTTCCTTAACAACCAAGTTAGGGTGATCTAGTCTCTTAAGAGAACAACACATTCCAACAAAGGAACTGAAAACTAAGAACATAAGAAAAAACCTAAGGAAATGAAGAAGACTGCTTACTAGAAGATATAGCCAGATTGCACATTCCACAGAGTCCCATCTTCCTTTTTAGCAAAACCCTCACCCTCCCTCTTTGCATAAAATCACGCGGATATGCCTTATCAATCTAACAAAGATCCATAAACACATTATCAAACATGAGAGCAAATTCCCGACCAATAGTCCCCTAAACTGATTGCAATTAACCACATAAAGAAGAATAAAAAATTGGGAAATGAAACATCAATTAATCACTACAAAAAAACGAATAACAATTCAAATAACATTGATAAATCAAACCTCAATAGCAAAAGGGAGTTTGAGGTAGCTACAACAATCACCAATCTCAACGCAAGTAGGGTTTTCACACGCTTTGCTAGAATTTTTCCGCCGACCCTCAACGATCATTTTCTTTGAATTTATGTAAATTGGGTAGAACACAATCCACTTCTTTATATTAGGTATATCCCCATCCATGTTTCCTATCAAATCAAAATGATAGGATTCGAAACCATCACTCAAAACAAAAACCCTCAACTCATCTAAACGAAAGTTTAGATTTACAATAAAACTTTGAAAAAAAAAATAAAAAATCACATAGGCTGAAAAATAAGCAAAATTAAAACAGATCTAATGTGACTGCGGGTGAGAGAATTAGAATGTACCTTGAGTTGAGGAGAGAGAAACCTCAACCAAAAAAAATTCCAAAGAACTTTGTTGTGCACGGACTAGACCAGACAAGTTATATTGTTTCCATATTCCCTGGTTATGGTAGGAGGGCCAATGGGCCGAGCTCGTGTTTGTATTGGTCTGGGCCATAGAAGATGATAATAGCATAACTATGAGTAGGGGCCCATACCAATACGGCGACTACAGTCACGTATTTATGGGTTGGGCCCTAACCATCCGCAACAAAGGCTTAGATTGCGTTTGGTAACGTTTTCGTTTTCATTTAAAAAAAAAAATCAACTTTTATTTTATTTTATTTTTTGCGGTTAAAAGTTAAAATAAGAAGCGTGATGCAATTGTTGTTTTAAGAAATCTAAAAACTAAAACAAAAGACATGTTTGGTAACCAATTTATTTTATGGCATATATTTAACTTTATATTAATTCATGCTAAAGCACAATCACATTTTTATATCAATACATTCATCAACCCATAAAAAATGCAAAATACATCAAAACATTCAAACTTATAACAGCCTCTCAAATACCAACTAATTACATTAAGCATAAAACCAACTAAAATGTCTACTCTACACCATATGTATGAAATACAATCAATAAGTTCATAGAATAATGAATGATATAACCATTTAACATAAACAAATTGAGCATTCATTCAAATAGAGTATTCTTTTACATGTTCACCAGAATAATGCATATAAAAAGCCTACAAGCATACAACGTCAAATGAAAAGCTTCCAACCCAATAGATAAATAGAAATTTTTTTTTTTTTAATTTTTTATTGGGGAGAAGGAGGGGGTGGGGGAAAGAGGGTTTGAACCCTGACCTCAAGAAGACAAAGTCTTCACAAGGTAAGGAATACCATTGGACTAAAGACCCATTGATAAATAGAAATTAATTTGTGTCTCCAGTCTAGTATGCAATATCCCAAATAAGCCAAATAATCCCAAAGCCTCCCGTATGCAATATCCGAAATTATCATAATAATCCTAATTCTACTGTTATATGCAATAGACCCACCCACCCAGAAAACTATAGACCCTAATTGAAGGTGGCATTTATTCAAACACCTGCATGTATTTGTTAAGTGTAGAAAGCCATCAACAAATCACATTTACCCACACATAAACACACACACAATACAACAGTGACTTAGCCACAACACAGATGCACACAACCAACACACACACACTGTGAACCAGCAAGACAGACAACACACACACAGAGACAAAACAAACACAACACACACACAGAGAGACCCAGCCACACAGACGCACACACAACACTGAACACAAACATCTGAAATGGAGATGAAAAAAATCCCTAAATCCTAAACCCTAGCTCCGAAATTGAAATAAAAAATCTCTAGATCAGAAAATTGAAAAAAAAAAACCTATATCTAAAATTAAAATACATGGATACATATATGTATAAATCTATACATAAAAAGGTTAGATATATACATAAATAGGTCAAATCTATGCATATGTATACATATATATGTGTATAGATCTTCAAAAATGAAAATAAATATTACCTTTTTGAAGTTAGAGAGAAACGCCAGAGAACAGAGGAGCGCTGGAGAGGAGACCAACCTACTCCAGCTGGAGATGGTCTTTGCTTAAACAGGCGAGAGATAACAGAACAATAGCTTCACTTCAGACGACGAGAGAGAGAAACGAGAGGATAAGAATGAGAAATTTTCGTAGTTTATATACTCAGGCAAATATTCTCTTAAATTGCTTCTAATAAGGTTCGATGGCAAGACCTCATTTAACCCTTCCCCCTTCCAGCGCGTGTTTTCGTTTTTCCCTGTTTTTGAATGCACCTCTCTCTATTCATGTTTTAAATATTTGGGGTTATTTACAAAACGAATTGGCCAAAAAAAAAAATTTAAAAATACACTCTGAACACATTTTTATTTTTATTTTCAGGAAAAAGTAAAAACAAAAATAGAAAAAAACACAAACATTGTGTTACCAAATACAACCTAAATTAACTCTAGCTATCCTCTGAATACACGAAGAGACCACCAAATTTAAGAGTTGTGATAAATTTACTTATTTTAATGTGTGTCTATACATATCTACCTAGTTTTTTTTCTTTTTGGAGGGAGGGAGGGAGGGGAGGGGGAATTGATCTATTGACCTTAAAAAGACAAAATTTTTATAAAATAAAGAGTATCATTGAACCAAAAATCTTTTGGTGAAAATAAACAACCACTAACTAGTAATTGATGTTCATCTAGCTAAATCATCTAAAAAAAGTTTCTACAAAATAAACAAATAAGTCAAAAACTTCAAAGTCAACCACCCTAAAACAATCATTATAAATTTGGAAACCTTACTGTGAGACAACTACATAAATGAGATTTTGATACCTGATAACATTGAAGATAATTGATTAGTGACTGCTTCAAACCAGAAATATATTTCAAAGAAAATGCGTATCTTAAATATGTTCTGGGAGCCAACTTTGTACTCAGAGTTCCCCAAGTGCATTGGCAAGCCCAGAGTAACTCTAATTTTGTAGAATAAACCTCTAACATGGCATGATACTTCGAGGTTCATCGTTCACTCGTAAAATATATATCTTTTATTTTTTTCAAAAATATAATGTTTTAGAAACCACTGTGTCAGTGTTTTGGCACAAACTACTGAAACAATCCCCAATAGTGACTAATAGACACCCATAGTTTTAAGTTATATATATATATATATATAGTTTTAAGTTAGGACCCTGTAAGCTCAACATATTAAAGCTTACTAAATGTAACAAATATAAAAGATTTTAAAAGTATAAAGGCAAGGAGATTGTAACAAATATAAAGTTTTTTACTACTATGTAGATCTTTGGATGGAACGAAATGCAAGGATTTTTGAGGATAAAGGCGAGGAGTTTGAAGGGATATGAGAAAGATTGTATTCTTTGGCTTCTTTTTCGGCCTCTGTGACTAAAAAGTTTGAGAATATTCCTCTCTTTTGTATTACTGCTAGCTAGAAAGATTCATGTAGATTATAGCTTGCTTTTCTTGACGTTTCTATTAATCGATCATTATGTTGGACGACCTATCCACCTTTGATTAGGTTATCACCTTTGTATTGCCTTTTTGGCCTTTTTTATCAATAAAGTCTTGTTTCTTATCAACAAAAGAAAGTAAAAAAAGATAATTGTTTTCGGAAGACTCCTGATTACATGTCTTACATATAAGTAATTATCAGGGTCAGGCCTATTCCCAGCAATTTATGTTACTAGTATACTGCACTTAGTGGAGCATATCAACAAATTACTGGCCATGTAAAGGCAACTGCCGTCCCAGGGTAAGAGGTGGCGTAAAGGCTTGTTTGACAGTACTTTCTTACTTCATTTGATATTGTCAAACTGGAGCTTCTAACCTTTGAGTCATTATCTTTCCATCAAGAAGCATTGTCTCGAGGTTCTCCCACACATCCAAGTCAATACACTTACAGATGGAAAGATCAGTAGTACCATATAAAAAGGCCAAACCAGAGAATAAAGGAAAGCACAAGAAAAACCTCTATTATGATGTATTGCTTACAAAAAAAAAAGGCAGAGGGATGAAGAAGCTACATCTTGATTAGCTATGGAAAATTCAGAATGCTTCTCTCATGGACACAAGGGTTAAAAGTGAAAAACCATTCACAATTTGCTATATCAACGTCTTCACTTACATTTATATGCCAAGATTCGGTAAGTTTGATAGCAGAGAAAATATAAACCACACATAAAAGGGGAAAATAAATCAAAAAGGCCAAAATTATAGGAATTTTAGAGCTCCAACAATGCTTGTCATAGCACGTGGCAGGTGACTTACCATCTCGCAAGGGCTTCTTTGCAGGGACTCTTTTACTAAATTTGATTTTGTTGGTCCCATAGCTTCTAAAGTTTGAATCCACATGTTTTAACGGAGAGGCATTCTTCTAAGACTCTCCTAAAACATCCGAGTCAAAACATTCACAGAAGGTAAGTTCAGGAGCCTATGAAAGGAACAAATAAGATGATACGAGAACAAAAGAAGCACCCACAAACTTAAACACATACCTTGATGATGTAACAAAGATATTGGAGAAGCCACTCAGCAATTTTTACAGAAAATGAGAATAGATGACAGCAAAAAAATGCCTCTTAGAGCAGAACTTTGCCTTTATGACTCCTCCGTGGCTCACCAACCTCCACCAAGTAATTTGAAAGTTTTAATGCACTTCCAGTAGTCACATCTTCTGATAACTTGAGGAATTTATGGCTCAAAACGGTCCCATCTTCAGTCAATAGAGTAACCTGATAGTTATAGAATCAGCCGATACAACAGAAAAGTGACAAAGTCACAAAACTGGAAGAACTTCACAGCAGGAGCTGAAATTTAACTGCAATAAAAAGTATGGAGGTTGCAGGGAGCATTCAAAAAGAACATGATCTGTAATCCCATTTCATTGTTTGTAAAAATATTTATGAACTTTAGAACTTTCAGGAACAGATATGCTTGCTGGTGATTAGAAAATCAGTCTCTCACCTTTATGTCAATTCCCTGCAGTTTTAGTGGAGTTACTCCATGTAAATCATGAATTGCTTGATAGTGTTGCTGAGTTATTAACCAGACATCTTACTAAGTCCTTTCCTGTTAACACGGTATATATGGAAAGGAGGGGATTCCAGCATAAAATCTCCAGGATACAAAGGCCAAGTGACAAATCCACGTACCGAGGAATATACCACAAATGTAGTTCTACATCACATTCCAAGCACTTATCAAACTCAAAAGGCTGGTGGAAAAAGTTTCATACTAAGGGCAGGTATATAGATATATTAGAATTGATATAACTGTAATAAATGCCAAAGATCAGGCATCTATTATGTATGGAAAAATACAGTGGAGGCCTCTTCCCAAATACTAAGAAGCCAGAATGAACTTGCAAAAGAGCCAACTTAAAACCTAAATGAAATAGCTTCTCCAAGAAAGGTAATAGATCAATTTTGCTACTTGAAACTGACAGAGAGCCTCTGATTTAGGCACTTGACGAAAGACCTAAATGTTTTATCAAGTTTTTGGGAACTTATAACTTGGAAGCAATAGTGTTTCATAGCATATACAATTCATATGAATTTGTTGGTACTACTATGTACTAATTACACCAGACTGTAGAGTCATTCAGAAGCAACCAGCTTAACAATAGCAGGTGCAACAAATAAATTATAGATATAAGCTCTTCAAAGCATGCCTCTACTATTCACAAATGAAGTTCATGGTATTTGGTGCTGGCATTCTAAAAAACTTCAAATAAATCAACTGAGTCATTACCAGATTACGCACAAACATGACTGACATAATCATTTAAGCAGGGAGCAGAATGAACATAAAAACTGACCTGCTTTTGGTAGGAACCACAAAGTGAAAGTCCAAGGATACCGTCATGGTACTTCTTGTTTTTCTGAGTTATATGGCTAGAGTACATAGCCTCCCACTCTGCATTGTAGAAGGGGTGAAAAAGTTAACAGGGGGATAAGTCTCAGAAGATGAGTGAACGACATCTTTATAAGCTCTACAAAGAAAGGTAATACCAATGTCTCCTCTATGTTTTCTTGTTTGGGCTACACTTAAAAAAACTGGAAGTTGGAACTATCTTAGACTCAGATAGAGAACACAAATTGTGCTTGAAGTTCATGCATGTTAGGGAAACAAAGAGCTAAGAGTGTTCCATGCAAGTTCCAACCAACTTGGAAGGTGGACTCTAATCTAAAACCAGATCATATTCTTCCACACAATTTTTAATTTTTTTCTATAGAAAAGGTGCATTATTATGTTTCTTGTGTGAGTCAACAATACTAGTTCGTAACTGGAATTGCTATACAAATTATATGAAATGATGGCACCATCTTCGGAATAGTTACTGCGTAAACCAAAAGAAGGCATATGCCCATGCAAGACGTAAGGAAGAGAGAGCATTTGACACAAACTTAAGACAATACTGATCAGTCCCAAATAATAACTTCAGATAGAAACATACCAACAGGAGAGCCATTGTGGGTCTCGACTTCTTGTTCGTGCGGTGTTCCTCTATTGCCAACTACCTTGAAGTTTTTTTTCTGGAGCTTTCAAGTCCATTGGAGATTTATGGTCACATTCAATCTCTCCAATGTCCACCAAGTGAGCATCAAATGCTAATGATTCACCAGATATGATTATTTCATCCATTTTCAGAAATCCGCTATCTAAGAGCGTCCTGGTTGCATCGTACAGCATGATCTGAACAGTAATACAGAAAAAGGAATTTGAGGATCAATGTGTTTTTTTATTAAGTATTAATGATCACAACAACAGTAAGAAATGAGTCAACAAAAAAAATGTTCAAACTTCACTAGGTAATAACATCTCTACTGACTAGGGTGGCAGAGGAAAAAAAATGTGTTCATTGCATGCAACAATCACCATAATGCCATTGGTGGTACTGAAGGGCCTGACAACGTGGCTACCAACAACCCATGCAAACATGTCATACCTGATAATCCCCTGAAACATTCTCCCTGAAAGTTCTAAATTTTATGGAAAATAACTCAAGTGCCCAAAACTAGCTCCAAAGGTTTAGCAGTTCGCTATAGACCTCCAAAAAAAAAAAATAAGGACAGAAAGTAATAGGGGGCAGGGGGGTCTGTAATGCCCGGAATCAAGAATAGTCTAATAAGTGGTCAATAACCTTTACTTTTATAACCACTTTCCTCTTTTACCTAAATTAATCTCTCTAATTTATGAAGTCCAAATACATCTTCTTATTGTGAAAACAGGAATGGCCATCTCACTACATAAGATGTTTTGATTTACAAGTACCCTAAATTTTACCCGTTCCAAAATTTAAAAATTAATGTCAAATTGTATGTCTCTTCTCATGTTCTCTGCTTCCTAACCACTACTTATGCCAACAGTGTCCCCAATTCTCTCTCTCTCTCTCTCACACACACACACATCCCAACTTTCGCTCTCTTGGTGAAATTTCAAAAAAGAGTAATATCAATAAACATTAAATTTAAAGGACAAATAGAATTTGTGGAAATCAACCTGCCTCCCTGACGATCCACAACTTGCAAGCCTTAGGACACCATCGCGAAACTTCTTGGCCTTCTGAGTTATTTGTTTTGTGTACAACACCTGCCATTCTAAAGTGGAAATGATAAATGTTAACCGTGAAAGGAAAAGAAAATTGCAGTAAAAACTGAAATATATCCCAAGGAAAACATGGAAGTCAGGCTTGTGAGAAATCACTAACTAGATAGTGTCAACCTGACAATTGATCAGGCCTAATAACAGTGGTTAGTTTAAGAATTCAGAATGGTTTGATGTTTTGTTGAACAATTGAGTGGAACAAACCATAAACTAAATGATTACTAGTTTACTACCCCCATCCATTTTAAAAGAATAGAAAAGCAAAGAAAAAGTGGGAATTTAAGATAAAGTTAGATTTTGAACGCAAAACTGCATTCTGAAACTAACCTATTATGCTAGTTTTTGTCGTATCAGGACAGCTTGGTGGTGCACCATACTTGACCAGTTCACTCTTCTTGAACTCTATAATTTTCAAAATAATACCATTATCCTTGTCAATAAGATCATTGAGAGAACTTGCCGGCGGTAAAAAGAGTTATGCACTAGAACTAAGACTTCCTTGAGAGAGACAGTAACATGAAAACAAACAATTCTACCACAAATTAAGAGGAATAAGCTCTGTATGGGCACACTGATAAGACTCACATACAGAACACACTTAGGAAACATATTTATAAAATGCTGGATTTCCTATTTCAAGCTTATAAAATGTATAATATAATCTCCCCATACCACCTCACACTCGGGAATAAACAGATAATACTGCAAACTTGTTTCACTTTGCAAATGAAGATGAAGAGATGATGAATATGATCAAAATAACCTCTGATAATTTTTTGTGATGGACTCAGATTACTTGATGGTGCTTTATTCTTCCCTGAATTAGCATTCTTATTTTCAGAAAAGAAAAGAACCATTGGAACTAAGAAATAAAAAGGAAATAATTAAGCAACTCGAAAAGGAAAAAATAAAAGAAAAATTATGTGATACCAAAAAAAATTGGATTATTCCTGAACTTTTAGCCATGTAAATTTCCAGATTTCTCAGTAACCTTTTTATCTCTTCCTTGGAAATTCAAATTAGGTATAGGTTTGTGATCTCCATGAGGATCCCCAATGTCAACTAGATAAGCATCGAATTCAAGTGTTTCACCGGATCTGATGACATCCTCTTTCTTCACAAACCTGCTTTCTAAATAGTTTTTCACAATCATCATATAGCAGGACCTGCGTAAAGAATTCGAAAAAAGAATTATGAAAAAAACCACAGAAAACTACCACGGCATACAATATTAAATATCAAATGTGATATTTTCTGTATGATTGAACTTTACAAAATTTAGTTCAAAAAATATATATATTCAAAACCAATCAACTCCAAGCATAGAAGAATACAAACGAAAAACAAAAAGGAGAAATGAAAACACAATAATAATGTAGGGGTTAAAAATTGAGGATACCTCCTATAAGAATATAAGAATAAAGATTTAACGTTTTTGATAAGAGTGAGTTTTGAACTTGATCTCCCAGTCTTTGTTTCCTGTAAAACAAATAAATTGCTAAAGATCGAAATACTTCGATCGAAAACATTCCGATGTTTAAGTCAGTAATGGAACTGAGACAATTGCAAGAAGACAAGGAAAGTTCAGTCTACCTTTCACCTTAGTTTCTTTTGCTTTTTATAGATGATTATCCCATTAGGGTTTCTGTGATTTTTGATTCAATGTGACACACCTTCCTTCAATTCTGCAATTCAGTTTGGGATGTTGCTGATATTTCTCCAACAATTCCTCTTGACATTTGTAATTCCGTTGATTCGTTCATTCAAAATGCTTAAGTTATAGGCAAGTCTCTATCTTTTCACGTACTATTGCACACAACTCGGTCATTTCAAGTACCGAACTCCTTCTTTGTTTGTCGAGCACATCAATCAGCTCGGTCTGGTAAGAGCTGAACTCTTGGTAGGAGTCGGACGCTTTAATCAGCTCGGTCATAATGAGAACCGAACTCTTTTTTTCTTTGCCGAACCTTTTGATTAGTACGACTCGATTTATAAGGCTGAGTGAATGATTTCCTCGTCATGTGACTTGTCTTGTCAACCTCACGTGAGCTCATTTAATGCTATAACACGTGTAATAATGGGAACCAACCCACTTCATTTGCCCCTAGAAAAAGTCTGACAGAAGCTTTTCGTCTATCAGCCGTTTTATGCCTTTTCATCATCATTGCGCGTACATCCCTTTTTTGTTTTGGTGGTATGCATTGTATTTAAATAACCTCTGGGAATTTTTCTTCTTTATAAACGTTCTCTCTCCATCTTTTTTTTTACTTTTCTTTCCTGCTCACAGACTCATCTTTTCCACTACATTTTCTCTCATTTTACATTTCATCCTTTTCAATGGCTCCTCTACTATCTTCTAAGATTCTAGTTTTCAAAGCAAAATATAACATTCCAGACGACGTCGAGGTACAGGTTGCTAGAAAAGATGAGCCATTGATAGGCACGAGGGAGAGGATTCCCATCCCAACTTGAGCCATTATAGAGGGTGGTGTTCGATTCCCTCTCAATCCTCTCCTTTTGTGGGTTCTTTCTGCCACTAAACTTTGCCCCCTGCAATGTTGTCCCAATTTTTTCAGGACTGTGATGGGAGTTGCTGCCTTAAACAGGTTGCTAAACCTAAGTCTAGGCCTCTGGGAAATCTTGTATTGCTATATCATCAAGCCAGCCGGTGATAACTACTACCTTGAAGTTAGGAAGAAGAAAAGGTATTTTTTAAACCATTTGCCAGACTCGAATAAGGGTCATGAGAACGACGTGGTCTTCATTTCTGGCAATTGGGAATACGCTGTTGATGCTACACCTTCCTACCGCTGTCCTTATGAAGAAGGTGCTCCAGGTATTTGAATCTTTTACTCTTCTAATTTGACTTTTGCTTGCATTTTTTTTTTTTTTTTTGTATTTTTTGACCTAAGCCATCTTTTGTGTGTAGGCGAGACTGTCAAAGGCAAGATTCCTGACTCCTCGGTAAAAATGGATGAACTGCAAAAGGTTTAGGATTTCAATGAGACCCTGTTCTACCAAGTTACCTATACACTGCTAGGTTACACACCTTCTTATAAACGCCCCGAGCAAGGAAGAAGTCTTTCCTTGCAGCTTCTGGACACAGGACAATGAGAAATTTCTTGGACTTTTTGTTGACGGTTGAGCCGACCCCACCCATTGGTCTGATTCCAACAACTTCTAGACCTCCGATCAATGTTCTCAAAGAGCAAACTGTTGAAGCCCTTCCCGAGGTGATTCTTCCTGAAGCCAATGATGCAGGTCTGCCCCTAGGTGACCCAGCTGGTTTGGCTCCAACCGCTGAAACTTTTGTTCCAATTAAGATAGATCCTCCAGAATTTGTCCATTCCCCTTTTCAAGAAGATGATTCAATCTTTGAGCTTGCTGAAGACCTTGCCCCTAACAGGCGAAGGGTTGCCGAGTTCGAGGCGAGCCTTTCTCCCAAACTAGTCACTCTTCTTTCCCGTCCTGTCCTTAGGGCAAAAAGGAGAGAGATTACTGCAAAGGACTCGGCCATTGAAGATTTTAATGTAGTAATGGGGATTGCTAGGGGAGTCATCTTGCCCCGGGACCTAGCAATGAACGAGACTCTTACCGATGACGAAATGTCTTGTCAGGCCATTCAACACATGGTCCTGGTGAGATTTGTTCTTTTGAAATTTCCTTCTTCAAGATTTTTCTTAAGAATTTTTCTAAGTCAATTCTCTTCTTTTTCAACTAAGGGTCTGCAAAAAGTTCATGAGGTCGGGGCTAGGATAGCTAGAAAAGATAAGGTTATGAAGAATGCTATCCATGCCCGAGCTTCAGCCCTGGCAAAGAAAGAGAGTGTGGATGAGGAGTATGCCAAACTCTATGAAGAAGTGAAGGTTTTGCAGGCTCAAAACCAAAGCCTGACCGAGGAGATCCAAAAGCTTTCTTCAGAGGTTGAAAAGTTGAAGGAGTCCAAACATGAGACCAACGTTGAGCTTCACAATCCTAACTCGACTATTCCACTCTCCCTAAGGAATTTGATCAGTATAAGTCTGAAGTAAAAGAGAAAGAAGACGCCGCTTATGATGGAGTCGAGAAAGCGAAAAATGACCTTGCCCTTCAGATTCCTTAGCTCCAAGAAGCGTACTTTAGTCAGGGCTGGCATGCTGCCCTAACTGCTGCAGGGGTTCTAGCTTCTTTTGAGCTCTTTTCGTGGCATTCCCTTAAGAGATCTTCCTTTTTGCAACTTCTGATGTAATCGTTTAATGACCTCTGTAATTTCTTTTTTTGAAGTGTGAATGCAAAACACATTTTGACCTTTCTATTTCTGTAATTTACTATATGCCTGAAAAAAAAAATTAACTTTCAAAGTATAAATCCTTCTACTAGGCCCTTCTTTAGAGAGCTCGATGCCTCAACAAAGACCTTTTACACTTAAAAAATTTCGATAACTCTTGAAGTTATGACCCCACTCGGCCTTTCTTCTGAGAGATTTATCCCTCAACAGGGACCTTTTACACTTAGAAAACTTTTGATAACTCTTGAAGTTATGGCCCTACTTGGCTCTTCTTCATAGAGCTTGGTCCCTCAACAGTGACCTTTTACACAAATTTTTTTTGATTTTGATAACTCCTAAAGTTATGGCCCTGCTCGGCCCTTCTTCAAAGAGCTCAATCCCGTAATAGAGATGTTTAACACTTAGAAAAGTTTTAATAACTCTTGAAGTTATGGCCCTGCTCGGCCCTTCTTCAAAGAGCTCGGTCCCTCAACAGGGACCTTTTATACTTAGAAAAATTTTGATAACTCTTGAAGTTATGGCCCTGCTCAGCCCTACTTCAAAGAGCTTGGTCCCCCAACAAGGACCTTTTACACTTAGAAAAATTTTGATAACTCTTGAAGCCTTGCTCAGCCCTTCTTCAAAGAGCTCGGTCCCTCAACAGGGACCTTTTACACTTAGAAAAATTTTGATAACTCTTGAAGTTATGGCCCTACTCAGCCCTTCTTCAAAGAGCTCGGTCCCTCA